GTATTTGTTTGCCAAGGAAGCAGCCCTGTGTTGAAGTGACACAGCAGCATCACTTTCAGAGCTGCAAGGTCAGCAGCTGAATTTGGGGCCCAGTTTGTGGGGTACCCAATGTACAGAGCACACACGGGGCTGAGGAATGCGTACGTACAGCGAGGACTCCGTGGTAGGAAGCGGCAGCGGCTTAACTCTGTTCCAATTCCTGACAATAGGGCTGGGGGGTTGAATTAAATGCGATGCTGAGCACATTTGAAATATTCCACTCTGCGCATTTTGTAGCGCTGGTGATTGAACTCGACATCCAGCTTGCCAGAAGCCAGGTGTTTGGTATGTACGTGGTGCACTTAGAAATCTAATTCCTAATTCTGTGCTGTGCCAGCAATAAGGGACCTCTGACCTCTGCTGCCCCGGCGCACGGAGATTAGATACGTGTGTGTGACTCAGAGGAAGCTGTCTTAGTTGTTCACTGATGTAAGAAAAAGAGGTGGAGCTGCAGGAGCCAAACGAAACCCAAAGCACTTTTATAACCTACCAAGTTCATGCCCAAAAAAAGCCATTCAACCCCCAGTTCCCTCAAGAGATAAAAGTCCCCTGTATTGAGAGAATTTCTGGAGCATCTTGTGAGCACTAAGTACAGCCTCCCTTAATTAATGGAAGGCAGCTCAGCGTAGTTGTGTGAAAAGCTCCTGTGACACAAAGCCCAGAAAGGCTTTAGCGAGGGAGCACAGCACCAGAAGGGTTTAATGGCATTATAATGTCCTTGAATTACGATGGCCACAACTCAGAGAGATGTATTCCAGCAGTACATTAGCAGTAAAAGAAAATCTACTCTTTCTCTCTCGAGCCCTCATCATCTTTACTGAAAGCTGGAGTCGCCATCCCTGAAATACCAAAACTCAAAGGCAGGGGGAAAGGAAAAGGCGATATGGGTGGAAGTCCCTGGATTTTGGAAAGAAAACAAGTTGGGTTTCCCCGCAAATCACCCACCTTGCTCCAGCCCCTTTGTAGCTCCTGTTGCATTTTATAATGTGTTTAATAGTTTTCTGAAATCTGTCTGGATTGGGACAAGGCTTTTGCAAGCTCATAATTCCCTCAGTCACTAAATGTCGGGCGGCTGTTTGTGGACTTAGTGCAGACCCTGTCCTTCGTTTGCGCGCTCACACGCACAGAGCCGAGGGGACGTGCAGCTCCGCTCGTGTGTTTAATAAACTTGAACCACAGCCATTTCTGGTGTGTGTGGCCAGGCGTGTAAAGCAAGAACGGTAGCACGGGAAGGTGGGTTGGTAGTTAAAGGCTGTTTATGTGAATTAACGCTAAAGGAAGGAGCCGCTTGACAGACTGAGGAATTGAAATCCATTACAGATTGAAAAGGCGACACGCCGGTTCAGAAAAGGCCGTAGCAGGCGAAAGGCAGTGGCAGCAGAGGCTCCTCTGCACTGCCCCCATCACCCCATCAACGTTAACGTGGAGAAACCATGCGAGGGGGGACCCGGTCGCTCCCTCCGCCTGTGTCAGCCGCGGGGGCTGCCCGGAGGCTGCCAGCTGCCGAGCTGCATCTGACGGGTCTGCGCTCGTGTGCGTTGTTTGTCCTGCGGAGGCTCAGCTGAGTCCCATCAAACTCGTTTCGCAAAATAGCCACTCGTTTCCAACAAACAGCTTAGAAAACTCAATCTCAAAAGAGACACAGAAGCTTGATTTTTCTTCTTTCTCCGCATCTTTTTAGCCTTTCTCTTGTGCTGGAAGACGAATGGTTCGGATGTGTCTGCAATAACACCGGCATGGCTTATCTGCCTTTCTATTGATGACCTGTTTCTGAATGTCTTGGCCTGATTTATGAAAATGTACTGTACTTTGCACCATGTTTTGATGTTGCTCTGTTAGGACTGCATGCAAGCTGCAGTGGAACAGTGATGCTTATTCATTCAAACAGTGAAGGGCTGGCTGGGAACTGAATGAGCTCATAGTTGTTGCTGTCTTCACTTACAGAAAGGGAAACAGGAGAATGCAGGTATCCCAAGCCTAGGCATTCTTTTCCTGACCATCAGTTTGTTTTATTAATCATAATCTTGAAAGCACAAGGTCATGGTATTTATTTAATCATTCATACCGTAGTTTTTTAGGGATGGATTCTTATTTTAACTCTCCTTTCTATAATAAACCCCGATAAAGTTGGAACTGAGGTCTGTTTGCCTGCCAAATTTTCTTTCTCGTGCTATTGCTTGAGCATTAATGAATTTAAAATCTGAGAGTCTGGTTCCCATCTCTTACTAGCATAATTCAGCGGTTGCCTCTATTGCCTGGGAGAGTCTCAGCCTTGTTTCAGCCCCTGTGTGCTGAACTGCTCTTCACACACACAGAGAGACCAAGAAAAACAACAGCAAACCCCCTCCCTGTGCTATCTAGGTGTGCGTCAAAAGCCAGGGAACCCTTACCAGATGGAAGGATGTTTGGCAGGTCCCCTGCTAGAAGCCCTGTTGCAAGTGCAGGGGGAGGCAGGAGAGGTCTGCTGGGGAGCAGGGCTCCCGGGGCTCACTGCTCGGCTCTGCAGAGGACACCGGGTTTGGAAACATCCCTCAACTATGATTTCTGTGCTGCAAGGCATAGAAGTTTACCTGTTACCTTAAATCACTAGGAAATGGTTTCAGTCCTGGGTTGATCACCCATGGAGACATTTAATTGCCTAATGTGTTAATTAGCTAAGATTCACGCATATGAGGTGGTGAGGAAGTCACACTGAAAGCTATTTTTTGGCCCCGTGCCCTACTAAAGAAAAATCCGTGTCTACAGGCCATTCACTTGTACATGCGGTCCAGCCTGCAGAGCACAAAGACAAGTGAAGGACCTCAGGGCAATCGGCTCCCAGGTGGAATTTTTCCCTTGGGGCCACCTTGTCTTCAGCTTTGATCTGTTGCCTCTCAGGTGGAAATCAGCATTTTGAGGCTGTGCTTCTCACTGGCATCCCAGGGAAAAGAGGAAAGGTAGAAGGCAGCAGACAGAGCTTATTGCTGCATGGGAGAGTTGTCTGGTTTGAGAACAGCACTTAAAATACAAAAAGGCAACAGGGATGCTGGCAGTGGTGCCAGCAAGGAACAGACAAATTCCACTTACGGAAGCAAGGTACCCCATGGGGTTGGAGAAGGAGCACGTGTACCAGGCACTGCCTGAAGGTCTTCTGAGTTCCCACCTTTCGGACTGGCTATTAGATGTTGCAGGTTGTAAGTATGACGTAGCTCTTGCCCTGAAAATATTACACTTACATTAGCGAGCCTTCTGCAAGGATGCAAGAATAACGTCTTCTCTCCTACTGCTGCCCAGGCATGCCGCTCCCAGGAGGGGAATGTGCTCATGCCTCCAGCCTTCCCTGTAGCCATGTCTGCAGGCTCACGTGAAGCTTCTCCCGGAGTTTTGCATGCTCTCATCTTCCTCAGCACAGGCCAGCTTGGATCAGCGTTGTGATGAAGTAGGTATTGTATCAGTGACCCAGGCCCAGCCGGAGCCAGGACTCGTCTGTGCTCAGCCGCCTGCTGTGAGGTGCTTCCCTTGCGTTGCATGCTCCCACGCTTTGAGGTTGTTTTTGACAGCAACTAGGTTTCCTTGCTGTGCAGCACAATGAGACTGGATCCTGACAGGAGCCATTAAAAGCCAGTGTAAAGCACGCTAACATGAGAATATCCCGAAAAACATAATTCTGCCTGTAAATAAACTCCTTATTTTCCT